AGCCACCAGCCGCCCCATTTACTCTTTCGCGCAGCCATAACATTTGTTTAACGTTTCCTGTTGAACTTTCCTTGCTCCGACTGCGGCTGTGAATGCTAAAGAGGCCGTTCAGACAATGAAACAATTTTTTCAAACTTACCAGCTTCAGCTTCGATTGCTGAAATGGAACGGATATTTCAATGGTATTTCCAATCGTAAGCTACGAAACTAAGTTAAAGAATTTTTCTTTTGGTATCAACTCAATGAAATAGTACTTCCAATCCTAAGCTACCAAAATAATTTCAAGAATTTTCCTCTAGGTGTATTTTTAGTGAAATGAACAATATCTTTCAATGGTACTTCCAATCCTAAGCTACCGAACTAATTTCAAGAATTTTCCTCTGGGTATCTTCTTAATCCGACTCTTGAGTACTCTGTACGCGGTGTTACTGCAATGTTACTGCAAAACTCATTTAGCGAAAATATAAGCAAAAAGCTAATTTTAAATCACAAAGAAATCGCATTCTTTTAAGAGATTATTTATTATGAAGAAGGGGGGACGTCATGTGTACATGTATGATCAGCATGAAGAAGCGAATCTATATAGACATATCCATATCCATCCGTCTTTCTTTCTTTATGCTTACGGGAATGTATTATCCATATCTGGGCAACAAACAGCAAACTTTTCTTCAACGTATTGATCAAATTTGAATTAATTTTCAATTATTAAGAATTCTTAATTAAAATTTTTTCACTTATTGGTGACTTTGTCCATTTAATTGGGGTTGGTCTCAAGATTAACAAAATGTATAAAGAAACTTACCAAATATATTCATTATTTAGGTTGAGTTAATTATGTTGAGCAATCAATTACATAAAAGGGATGAAAGGTAGTCACAATTCATAAACTATATATTTATAAATAGCTGCCCTAATGTTTTTGTTTCAAATTGTTTTTATTGGCTGTAAACTACACCGTGTAGTCTACCGACTTGGCTTAGATTCAAATATAGATTCATAATTGGAAACGCTTTTATACTTTTCTTCAGCTATTAATTGCAACTAGACCTTAATTTGAAAATTAGAATATAAAATAAGTACGTTGTTAATGTAAGGGGACTGAGATCAGTAGAAAACTAAGTCTGAAATCTCCTGCGCTTGAATAGTCTTCTGGAAGGTCTTCCAGTTAGTATGGAATACAGTGCCTTCATGGGTGATGTATTGTCTCCGATCAGGCCTACACATGGTTTGCAGTTATGGAGAAGCCAGCGCGCTCCTGTCGTAGGGACTTAGCCTATTGAGCTATACTCTTCAGCAATTTGTAATGGGAATGTGAAAAGACGTCAATGAATTTAATTTTATTTAATAGATTGGCGATGGGGAAACTATTTCCCAGTTTGAACGGTACCTTAAGTCTGCTGCGGCAATTGCAGCGGCGTCGGCGTCGGTTGACGGTGTCGGTTGTGATTGCGTTCTTGACGTCGTCGTCGTACTCTTTTGAGTCTTCGTGCAATTGTGCGTTAGATTTAAGTGCTTTCGTGGCAGCCTTAATTTGCATTTTTATTTTTATGTTTTCATTGAAAGCGCCATCATCAATGGAAGCGCGCGCCAGTTGGGCGACCGGAGAACATGCAATGTCCCGTCCCAATGCCGGTCACATTTTGGCTGTTTCCTTTGTTCGCGACTGTTGGCGGTATCAGCGGCGGTAGATGCTAACAGCATCAACAGTAGCAAGAACAACAACAACAACAACAGCAGCAGCAGCATGCAAATGCAAATGTTTATTGCCCAAATGCTGCCATTGCAGCAATCTGCAGTGCTATGCCGTGTCTTGCCCTGCCCTGCCCTGCCCTGCCTCGACTCACGAGCTGCAAGCTAGAAGCTCAAAGAGCGCGCCCGGCCAATCTTTTGTCGTTGGAGTTGTTGGAGTTGTTGGCGTTGGACAATCCCAGACCAAAGTAGTGCGCAGGTGATGACTGCCAACAGTTGTCGCCGTTGTTGTCACCAACAACGTTGTTGTTGTCGTTGTTGTTGCTGTTGTTTTGCGATTTTGTCGCCATGTGGCCATTTTGGTAAAAACAACTAATCAATCCGCAAATGTGCCATCCGTCAATCATGAGACACAAGCGGCATCGGCGGCGTTGAGCGGTTCGCGCGCTGCTGTAGGTCACACGCCGAAGTGAGTCGCATTCGCCAACGCCGCCAACATCGGTGCCGCTATCGGTGGCAACAACAGTGGCACCAGCAGTGGCAGCAGTGGCAGCAGTAGACCAGAGCCAAATGCCACCACCTTGGTTGGTATTGGCCAGTAGCAATTGAATGTCACCATTCCAATTTGAAAATTCATTCATTGCTCGCACCGATTGAATGACTGAGTGACTGACGGACGGACGAACTGATCGACTGTCATTGTTAGCATTTATTTTTAGCCTTTCCCAAATTGCCTATTTTTGGCGCAGCCGATGGCCACACATACTCGTATGCAGCAAAAACTACAACAAAAGCCCCAACACTGCTGCTGCTGCTGTTGCTGGTGCTGTTGCCGTTGCCGCCATGTGCCGAACATACTCGTATTACGGCAAGACAAATTTCTATATAATTGCATTTGTCGCAGGCTCAAGCCCCTAGTCAGTCTCAGGCCCCCAGTCTCGGGCCCGTCGACCATGGCGCATTTAGACTTTATTTTAAAACGTGCCGTATGGTCATCCAACACAACGCAACGCAGCGCAGCGCAGCGCTTCGGCCCCATTCGCCCAGGTTGAACAATGCTGCATTATTTTTATATAAATTGCATGCCATTGCATGCCATTCCACTGCTGGTAGCCGCTGCTGGGTTGCTCGCTCGCCTTATATACTCGTATATATTTTTATTTTTTGTTTTCGTTTCATTTCGTTTTGAGTCCGCAGCGCGTTCCAAGCTCAACTCTAATTGTCATTTAATGAGACACGCTCGGCATTTGCGCACGACACACGACTATCAATTCAATTTGCGAGCCTTGACTCACTCACTGCCCGAAGATGAGATCCTGGCGCTGCGCTTTCGGGATGGGTTGTCTTGAATGCCAATTCCATTGGGTGGCTTGCCCGCAGATTCTGGACGCAAATTGAGAAAGCTGCTTGGGTAAATGAGTGCAGGTCGGGTCTGGAATGTACTATAGCATTGCAAACTCTCCTAGTCGCCAATAAATCCCTAATGAGACAGTGTTCATTTTATTAATACTTTCATCAATTCACCAACAAAGCAGAGTGAAATATAGAGGATTACATTGGTGTTGTGCTATCAACAGTTCCGACACATTATTATTACCAATATTTGTGCAAAAATATTCCAAATATTTTAAAAATACAAATATAACAAATCGTACTCAATCGTTGAAGTTAATGTTTTATGACAATATTGCTTTAAAGAATGTTTGCTTATTTGTTTACAAACAATTTGCATTTAAATACTTCTAAAGTTGCTGATGCTTTATTTGAAAAGCAATATCAATGGTGTTTGAATGTCCACTTAAGGTATTTTGATGAATTTCTGCGCAAATTATTTGTGTACATACCTGGCCGTAGCATAGTATCTGATTCAAAGAAACTCAAAACACAGCAGAGCAAGGTTTACTAGGTATTACTACAAGGTGCTAACATATTTTATACATTAATCCAAATTCCATTTTAAAATGTTGACGGAACGGCTTTTTAAAAAAAGCGGACCAACAAAAGAAAGCTCAGAAAGAATGTTGCAAAAGTATTTTGTTAAATCATACTCTCGAAAATACATGGATTTCGTTCCTAATTTCTTAACTGAATGTATCGCTGATACTGAACCTACTAGTATAATAAGACATAACAAAAATTGCAAATAAGATAGTAGTAGAGTTATTTTAGTAATTACCGTCGCAAGCTTCTAACAATTAACACAAGCTTAGAAAATATAAAACCGAAGTAATGAAGTTATAAATATATCTTAGTACCGATGTTAATATTTTCGCAATGCAAAAATTCTGATTTCGTCTTGCAAAACTGTAAAACACACTTTCAATATTGGTTGGTTGCCTACCAATTTGCAGCGCCCACAACGTTCAACCAAGCCCAGGCCCTTCTCTGCTCATTGTCAGCAACTTATGTAAACCGCAAGGCGTAACCGCAGTTGCAGTTGCAGTTGCACTTGCCGCGGTATCATGCCCGACTTAGAGACAGTTTGTCTTCGCTCTTGCTAATTAAAATGTCTTGGTGCTGTCACTCAAAAAGTGGTTGGTCGCTCGCTTGGCCGACTCGGCCGACCCGGCTTGACGCCCATTTTTGTCAGCGTCGGCCAAGCAACACGCAACTCGCATCTCGCAATAATGCGATTTTGCCTTTAGAAGCGGCAGACTCTCGGCGAGGCGACAAGACAGCCCGGCTAGACATCGGATGCACTGCTACAATTTCATTGGAAGTCACAGCCATGACGCGATCGGTCTGTGGAAGCTGCTGATGCCGATGTCGAAGCCGATGCCGATGCCCGGCTCATGCGACGTATGAGCAATGCGGCGTACAAAATGGCGGCCGTTGATTCGATGCGATCGCGTTGTTACAATTTGCAATTATTTTGCGTGGCAGGCACCAATCAAAATTAAAATGACGTTGCTGTTGTTGTGGCAGTTGTTGTTACTGCTGTTCCTGTTGTCGTTGTGGCCGTCAGAGTCAGAAATCAATATTCTAAATTCTTTAACGCGTGTGCACATTTAAGGCAACGGCGAGCTGTGCAGCGAGCAGTGCCTGTGGATTGAAGCTCATTGAAATGCGGCGCAGACGCGCACCAGCGAACAGCGCAGTCGGCACTTATACGCAATTTCGCGCCTTATTTGGTGCAAACGTTTTGCTGATATTTTTTTCAGCTTGTGTTATTTGCAGTGCCCAGCAGCAGGCACTTGGCTGGCATACTGAACTTTGGCTGGCAACTTAGCCACATTCAGTTTGCCGGTCTTAGCTTAAGTCAGACAGACTATTTGGCGCCTAATCTCGGTATTTTCCTTGCTTTCTAGGATGAACGCTCGCCCACTTCGTCGGGCAACGAATCGGACGACTCGTCCGATGTGGAAATGCCGACGGCAACGAATTGTGAACAGTCCAGAACAGGGGCCAAAATGTCCTCAGCGCCCACAATGGAGTCCAAAGCAGAGGCGACTACGACGGCCACAGCTCAAGGATCGAACTTTCAGACTGAGCGTCCCAGTACCAGCGGGAGCGCCATGACCACGGCATTAACCAGCAGCACCACCACCCCCACAGTCCCAAGCATTGGTGCTGCAGCTGCAACCATTGCATCGGGTGCATCTGGTGCATCTGCCACGCCGACTGATAGCAAATATGTCTACCCCGCAGCCTCGTTCGCCAGCATACCTCCGGACATGCTGCGCCAGCTCATACAGTCGGGCCACTTGCAGCTGCACGCGGAGGAAGGTAGGTTATTCGCAAACTATTGTTTATAATCTGCATCATCAATTATCACTTCATTTGCATAAACCTTTGAACGGATTTTGAACTTCTGTAGTATAATATATATTTTTTAAATAATTTTCTAACCGCGATAAGCTCCTTGAGACATTGAATGAACACTTTTGCAATGTGAATTCAGAATCGGTCCACCATATTTTGAGTTATAGTCCAAATTATTGTTTTGAAATGTGATTTATCTTCCAATTAATGTACTTATTAATCAGCACCGTAATGAACTAATTTGTAATGCCGCCCACATTGTAAAGGTTATTAATGGAAAGATTATATATCATATATTTTCCCATGGTCCCATATGCAAATAATTTGGCTGGTTACTTTCGAGTTTTAAAAGTAGCCTTTGAAAAGTAAGCGTAATAAAGTGTTGTATCAGATAATTAAATTTGAGCGTAGACTTAATTGACTTTAATTGAAATATTTGTGTTATACGCATCAAATTATTTGCACCCAACCTTTGTTTTCAAAGAAAAGCTCTCATTCTAATACTAAGAATAATACTATATTCAAGAAGAGTTAAGTTCAATGCTTAGTGAAGTAAGTCGGTTTTCAAATTCAGCCGATAATAGCCTCTTCGAGTTCTCTGCCACCCAGCATCATATTGCATTCAAGTAAAGGACATACCTTTTTTAGAATTATACAGCCTTTGCTTTTGAATTTTATTGCTTTACATAACTGAAATAAAATATGCACTTCCCTATTTCATTTTCGCTTTGCAGATGGCAATCAATATGTGACCATACCTCTGAGCTCTACGGCGGCCAATCTTATCAAGAGCAACAAAATGGCCGCCAGTTCGAGTGCACTGTCGGCGGCGACGTCTGCAGCGGCAGCAGCAACCAGCACGACCGGCAAGCCTGAGCAGAGCGCAGATATAAGTTTGTCGATTAAACAAGAGTATGATTAGCGATGGCTTTCTGTGCACAACTAATAATTGCTTTTACAACAACCACAAAAACATAAACAACTTGCCACGCCCAAATCATACGTATATATCCAAATATACTTGCACACATACTTAACAAGGATGTTGCCTTAAACATTCGGCTTCTTAAACTGATTCTTTGCAAACAAATTGTAAATCACAAATGTTACTTCTTAAGTAAAAAATCTAATTGAGGAATAATTTAGCACTAAAATGTGATTAAAAAGCGAAATTCAAAGAATTACGGGAGGTTTTAAACATAACGGTCTATATTTCACGAATATGGTAGCACATGCAATTCATTGAGAAACATATTGCAGGCAGTAGGCTAACACTTTGGTTATTAACCATTTAGATATCGATCCAGAAAGTACGGAGAATGCTCAAGTATTCATTACAAAACAATAGAAAAAGACTTTTTTTGTTAGCCCACAAAATAGCCTTCAGTTTGAAAGATAAGCTTCTCATTCGAGGAGAATCTATTACTTTTGTCGTGTTTTTATCGATTACAGGATTACATTTACAAGTACTCCCCAACAGCCCTATTTACCCACCTTTCTGAACAATTTCGTTCACATTCATGCACTTCATTGATTTCTTAAAATCGTAAGATTGACAATAATATCTGTACGGCTACGTTTAATATCATCTATCCAATTTTGAACTCGCTTCAAATAAGATATGTAGTATATTCCGTGAATTTCATCCGAACATCAAGTGAATATCGATGTATGAGTGCATTCTCTTAAGATATTTCACCCATTAGAAAAGAACATGTTTCAAAGTTCAAACCTAAGTTTCACGCTCGTAGTAACAAAAAGTCGTTCATCTGCCAAATCGACTGCTGCCTGTTATGTTAATTAGAGAAAACCTGAGATAACGCTGCGTTATTACTAAATGACACCAAGCAGATCATTCTCTAGTGTTGATTCACAACTAAAGAGCACGTATCGGCCTTTTCTATTTACTTTAATGATTTTTAAATGCGTTCAGTTTAAGCAACTTAGTCACAGCTAGTCTGGGCTGTGCACTTACACATACATGCACTAAGTCATATACATACTTATACATACATATGTATACCTACATAAAGAACTATATATCATGTAAAGAAATATTTTTATACCTATCTGAGCCGTAACCTTTGCGCTTGGTTGACGCGATAAATGCTGACAAGCAAATACGTAAATTTATAATGAGAATTATGAGCAAAATAAATATGAAGATGATGTTCCTAAGCTTCAGAAATAAACGTTGCTTTGTTAATAGTTTATATTGTTTTATTAATTATATACAATACATACACTATAAACCGATTTTTCTTGCAAACCAACAAAATGAATTGTTTCTGATTGTATTTTTGAATAAACTTAAATTCAAAAGATAAATAAACCCAACAGCTATATTCAATCTCTGAAGATGGTAAGTCTTTTATTCCTATGAAAATTGAAAGGAGAAACAAGATATCTGAGATCATTGTGTTCATACAGACAGACAGACGGACGTGGCTATATCGACTCGGCTTGTCATTCTGATCAAGAATATATATACTTTTAGGGGTCTGCCACGCTTTTTTGTGTGTGTTCCGTGTACACTCGCACAAAACGAATATACCCTTTTACCCTTTGGTTACAGGGTATAAAAATCTGTTTACCTCACCTTATAATATAGATTCTCGGGTTTCTTTTCCCATATTTGTACTAAGTATACTGTATACTAAGTTTGTCATACATTTGTCAAAAATTTAGTACCTTCTTATAATGTGCTTGATATAACCTTTACTGACCGAAGAGCTTTCCTAAGTTTTGATGAAAAATATTTTAACTAGAACTGAAATTGCTTGTATCGATTTTATGAAATCAATGAAATACTCGTACAGGTATAGAAGGTGTAGAATAGGAATAGAAATTTAAAAAATTAAGAAAATTATAAAGGGAATTTCCAATATATACATTTTCTGCGTATTGATTATACGAACGAATATGAAAATCCCCCATAGGGGGGTAGTGAGGGAAAAACAAATAAATAAAACAAACTTGTATAGTGTACACTGTACACACATAAAGCGTCTTTGTGCAAAATTGTGTTATAGTATCTGAGATCTAGGCGATTATACTGACGCACAGGCAGGGCTAGATCGACTGATCTTGTCATGTTGATCAAGAATATACTTGTATGTATATATTTTGTGGGGTCTGCCACGCCTCCTTCTACTTGTTACATTTTTCACCTCTCTAAAAAGTACATCTACAAATACATACTTATGTCTCAGAAATATGAAGATGAAATAGAGCCGGTGTTCCGATAGGAGCAAAGCCTTCGGAATGCTTCCAGTTGGGGGGAAAAGGCGTTGGCATATATGCTTATTACTTGTGCGTATTATATATGCTGATTACTGTGAAGGCGATGAAATAGGTCAAATAGAATTGTTTCGAATTGATTTTAATCGATCTTAGCCTATGCACCAAAAGATGGAAAATAAAATGCGGATTCACGGTGGAAGTCCACGCATGAGAATGTTAGGATGCCGTAATCCCTTTTCAGAGCGTAAAACGTCCTATTTTAGTGTTTACCCGCTTGATTGATGGATGTCAATGCTTAATGAGTAGTGCCATGATAGTGTGTGCCATTCATTGAGCGATTGATTGACTGACGACATAATCTTATTGACACTTAACCTAATTAGACGACGCTCATTACTTAGTGTCTGTCCATCGCCACGAGTCTCTCATCGACCGCACTTAAGTGCAGCACCTGTTATCTGAGGGCAGAGGAGGGCGAAGGCGTCGATGGATGTGTCCCCGCTTCCGTTGCCGACCAAGCACTTTGCATGCTAAGCTGCCACATGTCTGAGTTCGTTCAGTTTGCCACAAAGACGCGACGTGTTGCTCATATAAATATGCGCACTCTGCCGCATTGCCTGGTCATTGCTGACACGCGCCGTGGCTTCCGTAGCCAGCAACAACTATAAGTCTTCGGCCGGCTTTCGAGCCGGAAGCCGTTAGTACAGCTGACATTTATGGAAAACGCCAACAACAACTGTAAAAAAAACAGACAAAAAATCAAAACCTGCCCGTCCCTGACGTGGTCAAAGTTGAGTGGGTCACTAAACTCGGGCCTAGTCTGCCGTTCGGTTTTGTCATCGTGGTCGCTCTAATGGAGCTGTATGCAAATGAAACTGCAATTAGCGTTGATTATCGTCGAGTTGATTGACATTGTTTGTACTCGTACAGGGGTCTGTGGTTTATTAACTACGCCCACGCTACCACCTTGTGAATATTGATCCTGCGGCGCGTACACGACCTGACCACTGTTGTCTGTCCAGCTGTTATTATTAATGGTCGGTCACGCGCCCAAGGCTCCGCGTTAGTCAATTGCAATTTTAGTTTCCGTTGCGACTCACCGAGCAACGGGCGCAATTTTTTGCATAGTCCGTCGTCCACAAAGTCTGCGAGCCCTGTCTGGAAAAAAATCAATACTAATGAGCCCTCAAATAGGTGTCTTTTAATGAGTAAAGTGCCAGCAAATACCGTGTCATAGGCAGCCGCAGTTTCAGTTCACATCGGAAATTGAATATCCTAGCGTCTCGAACGGATGTAGTCGAATTGCTCGGCGGGAAATCGTTCCATCGCCCACTCAAACCATAGGCTTAAAGGATACGCAACAAGAGTAAAGCGGAAGTGTGTGCGTGAGACGCCATGCGCCTGGGTGCCTGACTGCCTCCTGACTGCCATGGGCTGCTCGAACTCGAAGAGCACGCCAGTCGTAGACGAGAGCAAGGTGCCGGCGAAGAGCAACAAAATGGAGGCAATGAACAGCTCTAAGCAGGAGTACCGTAAGTAAGAGCCAGTAGATGCAATTAGCCCCGGTCTAATCGCTTTGCACACAGCGGCCTCAGAGGCATTCACAATACCTCTGGATAACGACGATGACAAAGCAGTGGCCCCCCAACTGAACGAGACTTTGCGGGAGCCACCCAAGCGCATCCAGGAGCTTATGCGACAGGCGGCCAGTACGGAGCCTCTGACCCTGGACGAGCTGGAGGAGAAGCAGCAACGCGCCGAACAAAGGCGCCAGGAACTGATGCAACAAAAGCTCGAAACCATACAGAAAAACACGCAAATGCTAATGCGCGGACACGAACGAGATGCCTCGAGAGAAGGAATGGATAAAGAGGAGGAGGAGGAGATGAGACCGAGTCCCCCACAATAAGCACCCAGATATCACGATGCATCCTCAACTCTTACACTTTCTCACGTTCGTCTTTTATTAAAAGCTTGAATCCACATACTCGTACTTGAGCGCATCATTAGTATTATTATGTATTGTAGTATATTTCCAAATTAGATTGTATGCAATTAAATCTCATTTCATATCCGTGTAACGCAAGGAGCAGAGATAGGGGTATCTCTAACCGCTTGCCATACTCGTAAGCGCGTTCGTAAAGTTTACTTAGCAAATTACACTATACAACTATATATAGTATTGTAGGGCTTATTGGAGGTGCAGCTCTCTCGTTGCTCCTCTCACTAAGTGTATACCCGTACGTGTAGTAGGTGGTACTTGGATGTGTGCGTGGTCGTAAATCATGTCTTTTGGTTGATTGGGTAACTCTCCTTAAACTCCGCTTTTACTGCGTATCCATATACTAGGAAGTGTTTATCTGGTGCCATACGGCTATCTAGTATATTTCATATTTTAGCCAAACTCCTATCGCATATTGCTTTCAATAATACAGTTTAAGAGGTCGTAGTAGTAAGTTACTGGAATTATACGCATTCTCGTATGTATTTATGCTTATATTTGAAATAATTTATTTGTTGCGTTTTGACTACACTGTGATAAAAATTGTGTTATTCTCTGCTTATTCTGTATTTGTCCATGTAGGTATGTATTTCCATATGCATTTAATATGTTTACATTGTTTGTTCTACTAACTTGATTTGGTGCATTTCAAAATTATATTCATTAGCTATGACATTTTCTTTAAGTGGTTTTTTAAGTTGTAAGTATCCACAAACCACGACATGCAAGGAGCGAATCGAAAATATCTAATCCAATACATTTTTGAAACCCATTCCTAGCTTAAACATCTAACGAACCTCTCGTTTCCTATGAATCGGAAATTATTGTATACTAATTGAAAAGTATAGCAACCAAGAAATTGCAAATCGTTTAGCCGACTGACTGAATTGAAAAAACATTGCTATGCCATATGATGAAATATTATATTAAAGATCTTCTGCAACGGGTTTATACGCTAGATGAAATGGTGCGAGTGTGATGGATTCTACATCGATAAGTCAGAAAACATAAGTACAGAGCTAATTAGTCTACAGATGCTCTGAAGTCATGTCCAGAGGGTGTTAACGTATCAGTCTTGGGATCCAATTAATGACTAGATTGACCAACCAGTTATCTTGATCATACAAAAAAGAAACGATCAATTGAAATGCAATTCATCATTACTTGGAAACTTATACAATATCCATGAGAACAAATTAGTGGATTTTTCGTCTATGATAGAAGTGCTCTGAAAGATGTGCGGACTATCTGAGATCACCAGTTCACCGTACACTACTAGCGATATTATAAGTGGGATCATTAATTATTGGTCTACGTACTTCTGCAATCACATTTCCAAAATTCCAATTAGTAACTAATTTCGCAACCGGAAGATTCTGCTCACCTGCATGTCGCTTTTATGGCATATTGTTTTTGGCACAATTTGTTGGCCGTTTGCTTGTTGCTCAATGTTTAAAATATTTTTTTTTTTGTATTTAATTATCTCTCAAATTTAGTCAACAGCAATAAAAATGGTTTGTTGTTAGTAGTTTAACTATGGTGGGTTACGTTCTTAATCCGTATATACTATATGTATACGAGTTCTACAAACTTGAATAGCATAGTTATGTGGTTTGTGTTCTTATTCTTATATTTTTTATCCGATATATTGTTTTCATATACCTCATTATGGGGGCTCCTTTCGTGCGACACCCATGTACAAAAATGCTTTAAACTATCAAAAGGAGTAATACAATCACATTTACACTTTTGCTTTAGTTTTAGCTTTAATTTGGTAATTCGATTATACATTTCATTTGAAAAATACCTAGCACATAAGCTGGAAATGAAAATCGTAAACGCAACCTCTTCAATTTCGTCAACGTGTTGGGGTCCGCCACAGATTCGATGCCTGCGGGCCTTATCTCTATATATTTTGAACTTGGTTAAAGCTTTTTTAGTTTTGGTTTTGCTTGGTTTTGCCACTTGCATCTGTCCACTAAATGTAAATACGCCAACAACTTAAGCTTAAATATTTATGTATAGTATATTTGCATTATGTATTCTATTAGCATAGTATACTATATATTCCAAATTTGTTGTATGTGTTTATATTTCAATTAAATTCTCTTGGTACGCTCAAACTCAATGGGGGCTTTGAGGGGCGAGATTTTCTCGTGCCTACCTAAAACTAAATGTGGGCATACATGTTTGCATATGTACTGTACTTTATATATTTATCTATCATATATATGGGGCTAGACATCAAAAATCAGTACTTCTTGTAAAGTGTAGCTAAGCCTAATCTTTGAATTTTCTTATATTTCTCTGCAACTGTTGCATAACATCTATTGTATATAAACGCCTACACCTGCACCAGACTTCAGGACCCCGACCTTATGTAAGTCGCTAAATCTGAACATCTGTCCAGTCCACCAAGTAATGTAAGTATTAGAGGTATGTATAGGTATACTTCCAACTCGAGTGGGCTGGAGCGCTCCAAATGCTTCGTGCTCGGCATAGACGTGGTGTATGACTTTCACAACTTAGTTATAGACCCCCCGGACCATGCCCTCACGGTTTCGGGTGTGCCACTTGCAGGTGAGGATGCGGATGTAGGTGCGTCGGAAGCTGGCATTGCACAGTGCGTAGCACATGGGATTTATCGTAGAGTTGATATAGCACAGAGCATAGAAGAAGTCCCACAGCTCCGTGGGTATGCAGTCGGAACAGGTGGTGAGAGGCTTGATCAGCACCAGAATGTTGTATGGAGTCCACGTAATGATGAAGCTCAGCAGAATGGCCGACAGCGTCTTCGCCGCCTTGGACTCTTGCCGCTTCTCCTGCGACTTCTTCTTTTTTTTGGCCGTGTTTCGGGCATTCAGCACGGCATGGCCTGGCTTCCCCAGCTGCTTGGGGATGACCTTGGCATTCAGTGGGATGCGCACATCGTGCGGCGCATGCGACATCCGCCGGCCCAGCGGAAGGCTATACTCTGAGTCCCTTGACGGCAGCGGGCGCCGAGTAGGGGGAGCAGCGATGGGTGCTGTCGCTCCCGTTGCCACATCCTCGTGTATCATCTTGATGGAGGGCGCACCTTCGCCATGACCGCTGCCTCCGTTTGCCGCACTCGCACCATCCGAGGGTAGACGTATGAGTATTGTATATACCGAGTCCTGGCTCACCGACCGCGAGCCAATGCGATTGGCAATGGGCAGCGTTCGTGTGTCCCGTGCTCCGGCTGCGGAGCTGATGTTTCCACTACCCACAACGGCCGCTGAGGCTGAGCCCGAGGCGATACTTCCTGCAGCGACCACTGTATTCATTTCCTGCATTTGAGAAATGGAATTGTGTGGCGGACGTAGGGGAGTCGGTGAGACATCCGGCAGCATGATGCTGGGCGGGCGTACGCCGCTCACGCTCCCGCCCATCGAGTAATTGTCCCGCATCACGTTCATCGAAGTGCATCTGTTCGTGTCGAGAGAGAGAGAGAGAGAGAGAGAGAGCGGGGATGAGAAAAGGAAGCGTTAGTGTGTTTATTGAGCATTGTATGTAATATGCTTTTTGAATTGTTACAATAACAACAACAACATCATCATCATCAATAATAACAACAGAGAGGGCTTGCAAGTATAGTAAGGTGCACTCATGCAGTGGATGAGTGCGGTACGAGTACGAGTATGTATGAAGTCTGAGAATGTTTGGCTTCGTCATTCACTTCAGGTAAACAAATATTGGGCGAGGAATGAATTGTCGGTGCTTGGTGCTCATCATGAGTGTGGGGTGCATGTGTGTGCGGGTGTGTGTCTGTGTTTGTCTTACACAAATAGTCGTAAAAGAGCTGCTTTTGTACTACCTGGAGACGGAGCTTTGTAAAGGAGTTTCAATTGTTACAGGTGTTGCATACCCTAAATCAGAAGGCTCCTCCTGCTCGTACGCAAAATCGTCCGAGTCCTCGCGCCCGGAATGCCACCACGCAATGCACCACTCCTTGATGCTGCCAAAGCACGAGTATGGCTTTTTGATTGTATTGGTGCTTTTGATCTATGGGGAGCGAAAAATTCAAAAAGAGTTGTGAGACAGTTAGGTCATGTTATAATAATAACAATAAAATATAATTAATAATAATTTAAAAAAAAATATTTTTCTTTATTAAAATGGGAAGTTATTTTACTATTCTCTATTTGTATTTAAAGAAATTAACATTAAAGTTAAATTAACATGAAATTAAAATTTAACATCTAAGATACACATTTTCAGCAAAATTATCTATAGATACGAAGAAAAATGGATTCATTTCATTTACTTTATTTCGTTTCTATAAAAAGTTCTGTACTTCTTTAACACAAACCCCTATAGAGGCTATTAGAAGAATAGGGTCATCCAAACATGATCAATTTATTTATGAAGACCTTGGATTTAATGCTGCAATATAGTGAATTTGAGGCGGAACTGAATTACAATATATACATAGCTGACATAAGAACTCGCTAGTTTAAGAGAAGTCTATATAAGAATCTATATAATAAATATTCTTGGGTACATTGGATCCACAATGAATTAAGCATAGCAAGCAATTCGTTGTAATACACAATTGAAACCCCGGAAGTAGTTGCGCTGAAATATAAGCGCTAGAAAAACTAAAATACAAGTAGTATTACATTTTAAGTGTATTCCCTTAAAGAGTAGCCATAAAGAATACAATTTACTTCGACAACTCGGAATGACGATTCGCCATTTTCAAATTAATGACTATTATTAGTGAGTATTAATAAAAGTAAATAAAGTAGTAATAAATTATTTCGATATATGCCTTCATAATCACATCAAATCAACTTACGCTAGATTTGCGCGAATGCATGCCTTGATAGCCTGAATCTATGACCATATTGGTCATATACACGCTTTCTGCATCCGCTGAGCTCTCGGAGCGCGGCCGTCGCCAGGTGTCGTGATCATTGGCGCCGAGCTGGGCAAAGGCCAGCATTCCAGTCGCATGGTTGACCACGGTGTTCTCGTCACTGTCAGGTGGGGTACATAGGTACATAGAAAAGGCATTAATGGGGTTTTTTAAAAGTAAAAGTAACATTTGGTGGTCACTCACCTGGAATTGGAACGCTTCGACGAGTCCTTCTTTCCTGCCTGCAAATTGGGCAGATCCTTCTGTCGCTTCTTCGTCTCGCGCCAGATGCGATAGTAAAGAAAACACATGATTGTGACCGGAAAATAGAAGGCCGCCAGGGCCGTCCCAAATGTAATGTATTGATTTGTTTCGATGAACTGAATGTAGCACTCGTCCTGCGGCACAGTCCGCTTGCCCTCAATGTAGGGCCAGCTGTAGATCCAGGGCGGCCACAGAAGTAGGCTGATACCCCAGGCGGCACCAATCATGACAGCCGCCTTGTTGGTCGTACGTTTCGCACGATATGTCAGCGGACGCGTCACGCTGAAGTAACGATCAAAACTAATGATCAGGAGGTTCAGCACCGAGGCGTTCGATGCCAGATAGTCCAAGGCCAACCACGTGTCACACACGTGTGGTCCCAGCGGCCAGTAGCCTAAGATGGTTGTGACCGCAAACAGCGGCATGGATATGGCCCCAATTGCAAAGTCGGCAATGGCCAACGAGAAGAGGAAGTAGTTGCTTATCGTTTGCAGCTGTTTATCAATCTTGAACGAAATCATGACCATGACATTGCCCGCCACTGTTACCGTGCTCAGAATCGCTGCTACGAAGCCCATGACCAACATTGAAGCTAGTGAGTATCGCGGACCCTTCGGCTCATAGGCGAGCGTGCTGTTCGTGTGATTGCCAGACATGGTGGAGGCATCTCCTTCGAACAGACCGCTCGCCGTCGTCGTCAGATTCTCCAGCAGTGCCGTCAGCAGCGTTGTGCTGGGCGCCAGGGTCGTTGTGGTGGTCGTTGTGCTCGTCGTCGTCGTCGTGGTGCTCGTAGTTACGGTTTTAAACAACGGCTCCAGTATGCTGGGCGGCCCGTGCGCTGCTAGCGCCAAACTCATCACAGGCTCCATGACTTATGCTTTATATATATATATAAACATATAAATATACATTCATACGAATATATATACATATATATTTATAACGCTTCTCAACACTTAGCCAACAGTTAGGCAAACTGGCTTTAAATCGCTTTCGAATCTATGCTTTATCTATTGCTTATTCCAGCCGCAGTCAGTGGCAACCAAAACCAACCCAAGCAGCACTGCCGCCTTCGTTTTGCAGCCCTGAAATATAGGAAAAGAAACGCAATGAGACCTACAAATGTATTAATATTCTCGTACATGGTATATTTGCGGGCATTTTCAAGCCTAGAAAACTTTCCATTTACCTCGTCTAAACGATTAATACAATACGATTTCTTAAACACTACTCGTAGATGAGGTGACATCGTGGGCATCTGAGGGTTGCATCTACTCGTATTAATCATTCTTCAAAAGGATTTAAAGCCGTTCCGCACTTTAAAGACACAGAAACATGGTGGTGGGTGTTTCAATAAATCAAGTCTACATAGAAATGTGTTTTCCAATGGGCGAATGACAATTAAGGAAACGTTATCACACATTTATCTGATACAAGTATATAGAAAGTACCTGTACATTGTATACATTGCATCTTTCAGAAAAATCGCTCTTTTAGAAGAAGAACCTTTTTAGATAAAAACCTTTTTAGAAACCGGAAACGTAATTTTGCAGAATTCGAAACACTTCTAACTTATAAGTATTTTGGCAAATGACGGCACTTTTCTTTATGAATTCTACATAAGTTGCTATAACGCTCTTTGGGATCTAACTGATTGAAACATATTCCCACGAATCTGTAATACCCGCTTTTCTCGTTTTTATTAGTGTACAAGTAGATGGTGGAATGAAAATGCAAGAGTTATGAGCGGTCCTTTGATATATCAACACCCTCCCGGCGGCCATTTCTGCGGCTTGTCATGGTCACAGGCTTCGCATTGTCTGTATAAGTTGTATATAAGTATATTGTGTTTTTTATTTTGCAAATGGCATTTTCTGTGTGATTTGTTTTAATGAAAACTGTTTGAATGTGTTTCCTTCGTTTGACAGCAGCCAAGATAAACACGACCAGGCCCAACCCATGCCAAAGATGCCTGCGGGCAACAATGCGCTAGAAAACACACACAATACAGAGAGACAGAGCAGCTCCGAGTATACACATACTACTATACATTGCTCATCCTTGTTGTTATTGTTGTTGTTGTTGTTTTTGCTTTTGTTGGTATTTTGATTATTGTGCAACAGTCGGAACTTCGCTCGAGGACTCGAACGCTCGAGCACTCGACGCAACTCAACTCAACTCAACTTGATTCGCTTTGCGGCGACACTTTGGCACGGAAATGTTCAAGGCTACTTCCTGACACTTTTCACAAACTATCGATGTTCCCTATGCCTATAGTATTCGAGTCTGTACATGTTTCTTTGTGTTATTATATGAGCGTGTGAACGTGTGACATTTCATTTTGCAGCCATTGTGTTTTGATTTGAAAAGTTTTTTAATGAAAAAAAAAAACATTGCGCATACGCCACGTATGCTGCGTCTTTTTATGTTGCTATTGATTGATATGCTTTGATATGATATAAATGCCATGATTGATTTGTATTAAGGCAACTAAAGTATGTTGTATTTTGTATGCGAACGACATCGTTAATGGGCTTCAAATAGAGCGGGTATACCAGCATTATGAAATCACGATTGACAACTGACATGTGTTTGACGAGCAAGAACATTTTTGTGATAAGGACAACATAGAGTATCAGTCAACAGGTTGTCTTCATTTATTCATTTCTTTCTGACAATGTTAGCGCCTACTACATGAGCTGATGATTAGCTACCAAGTGAGATGATCGATATGTCAATCGAAAAGTTTTAAACCCCGCTTTCAGAAATTGAATAAAGATTTGAAATGGGATTGAATACCTTACATTTTTGGATTCTGCGACTGTTTTTGTCGAATCTTTTTTTCCGTTTATTTTCCGCAACTAACAGCAGGAACTTCAAAATCTGACCTTCTATTTAAAATACATGAACAGGTTTATTCATAATCATAAGTTTATGGATTTATTGGCTTTTGAAAAGGTTTCTTTCTTACAGCATTTTGATACTATATATTGTTAAACATAAACCAAAAAAGGTAAAGTCGAGCGGGCTCACCTCTTAAATACCCTGACCACCACACAAAAAAAAAATTAATTAAAAAAATATATTAATTTAATTGAACAATTGAATTAGATATAAAATAATATTTTATCATATTTACATCAGAATCGTGTCTGTACGTGTTTGTGTACTTGTCCATATGTACGTACAAGTATGTATATATGCAGCACAAAGTTGAACCAAAGCAGCAACAACTTTCTCGGACTCTGGAGAATCTGGAAACCAAGTTTGGTCATTCTAGCCCTAACACCTTCTGAGATCCTTTAGTTCATATGGACGAACAGACGGACATGGCTATATCAACTCGTGTTGTCTTCCTAGTCAATAATACAAGGTGTGTTCCAAAGTAAACAGGACTTTTTGAATCTAGCGCCCCCTGGTGGCGCTATTTATATATCGACTGGTGCGTTAGAATCTGCTATCTTTATCGATTGCCCAGTGAGAATTTCATGACATTTCATCGATTAGAAGTGAAGTTATTGCGTTTTAAGTGTCAGTATGTTTGTGTTATCGGTGCGAAAATGAGCTTCGAACAAAGAGCCAACATTCAATTTTGTTTTAAAATTGGTAAAACTTTTACCGAAACGTTTCAATTGATGGAACAAGGTTATGGCGATGATTGCATATCCCGTAGCAGAGTGCACGAGTGGTTTCAACGTTTTCAAAGTGGTCGTGAGGACATAAATGACGATCAACATGCGGGCCAATCAAAATTCGTGATCACCGAAAATTTCATCAAAAATCAGCCGAAATCATCATTGAAATTGATGGAAATGGAATTGAACATCTCCAAAACATCGATTTATCGCATTTTGACCGAACATATGGGCTTACGAAAGGTGCACGGTTTGTTTCGCACAAATTGACTGACGACCAAAAATTGCTCTCATCGATCGACGCTTGTGATTATTCAGCTGATATGGTACCGTGCGACTTCTACCATACCGGCCAACGATCTAAAACACTCGTTCGACATGCTTTTGGATCGTGCAAAAAGCTGTATTGAAGCAGAAGGAGACTATTTTGAATAAAATAAATTGATTTTGCCGAAAAAACCATTTGTTTTGTTTTGTTTTTTTTTTTTTAAAGTCCTGTTTACTTTGGAACACATCTTGTATATATGTACCGCCTCCTTCTGTGTATACATACATGCGCACACAACTAATTAGGCTATATTTTGTTTATCTATATATATAATATGTTTGACAAACACTTTTTACTCTGTTTGTCAGTGTTTCATCTTGCTTCATCTTCATCTTTGCGAAAGGGCATCTACGTCTAGAGCCATTAAAACGAAACAAGAATGGGAGTTGCGGCTTCGGCAATTGCGCGAAAGGGCATCCAGATCTGATCCAAGAAACAAACAGCAGGGGGCGATGGACATCCTTTGTACAGACGACGAAAGGTGGAAAACAGTGGGTACTCATCAAGGACGTAATCGAAGCCATAAAAAGCGAAGGACGTATTGGGAAAGATGTGACGTCGGAAAGAAAAAAGCACTGCAATTCAGTGGCGCAGGAACGCAATCCGGAAGCGCTAGTATGTACTATACTTATAAGTCTATACCGCAACCCGTTTTGCTGTGGCTCATTCTCATGGTATGGATAAAAAAAAAACAAAGCTGTTATAAAAGTTATTCCCGAATACTCGAGGCTATACAACATTTATAGCCTGTACCCAAAGGGTGAAAGGCTATACTAGTTTGGTGCGAATGTATGTAACACACAGAACGAGGCGTGGCAGACCCCACAAAGTATATATATTCTTGATCAGGGTGACAAGCCGAGTCGATATAGCCATGTCCGTCTGTCCGTCTGTATGAGCGCAAGGATCTCAGAAGGTACAAGAGCTAGAATGACCAAACCTAGGCAGGTCAAGTTTATGTTTTTATTTCCCCGCAGTTGTGTGTTTTTTCATAACTCCCGTAATTCTCGGAATTTCGAACTAAAATTTGATAACTACATCCCGTTAGTGATTATGTGTCTGTTTCATTATAATAGGTCAATTCTGAAAAAAGTTATAGCCATAAATAAAATCGCTGCCCATGCTCTGCTTGTAGCTCTGCATGCAGCTGTTGTTGTTGCTGCTGCTTTGGTTAAGCTTTGTGCTGCATACATACACGCATATAAACACGCAGAGTCACGATACTGATGTAAATGTATGCTGTTGAAACTGTACATGAACATGTCCTCAATTTAATTAAATTATTCAATTAATATAATTTTTTTAATTAATTTTAAAAAAATTTGTTTTTTCGTTTTTGGAGGTACAGGGTATTTAAGAGTTGAGCTCGCTCGCCTTTAGCATTCCTTTCTTGTTTTTGTATGCGTAGATATGGAAAATATTTCAGGAAACATATAATTGTCTAAGTTGTAAGAAGAAATCCATCTGTATACCGCACAACTACAAACATCCTGACCGTTAGCAGTTTTGGTTGTTATTGTGAACGTCAATCCAATTCGGAATTGCAATCTTTGGTTTGAAAGGCTATATCGGTCGGGATCAATGCAATTCGAAATTATAAAATTAATTAACCGATATGAATGTGCTTTCTTACATTTATGACCACATGGATACCAAGTTTGGTTATTCTTGTTTTTATACTTCTTAGAGATGGACGATCAGAATGTACCCTTCGGGTACAGATTATATTAAAGTATTATAGGGAGATCTGTTAAGGTATTTTTCCAAGACCGGAACATATTGTTGAGCAATTTTGCTAAAAAGTAGCCATTATTATAAGTAATTGAAATATAATTTTCACAACAACGTATTGTGAGAAAAGAGCCTGTTTTATGGTTCAATCGAAACACAAATCGTTTCCAAATAA